GGTCAGTTTGTATATGAAACATATGTAGTGTAATTAATGCTGATCATTTCTTAAAATTGAATACCCGCTATGTTGTTATATAGTCTGTGCAGCACCACTTTTCCTAAATGGTACTTTTTTGATTTTACAATACAGTGCAGTCAGGATTATTACCAAATATGGAATTTCCAAATACTGTAAGGCTAGACAATCTAGAAATCTTTTAGAAAAAAAAACAAACAAAAATGATTGGTTAATTTTATGCTGATCTTTTCTTTGATAAATGAAATAAATTAAAATAATGCTTTTTTATGAAGAAAACGTGGTGAAGGCTTTATTAAATGGTCATATAACCTCCAAAATTTATGTATTATGTTTATTTTTAACTGCTTTATGAATCTATCATAAAATAATCAATAACTTCAAATTATAATCATAAAATTACCATAAAATCACAATAACTTTTTTCATAATACTGATGAAATGTTTGAGTTATCAACCTGTCATTCATTCTCATTCACCAGGAATCTTGTTATTAAAATTAATAAATAGTATCATGGAATATATTATAATTATAAATTAATTTGTAAGCTTTTTGGTATAAATAAAGTCTATGCCAAATTTTGTATATATACACAGTAAGTCTCGGTATAGCTGATGTCTAATAAAACTCTCAGTTTAATGGATCAAAGCTCAGAACCATCTATAAGTAAATTCTCTCGGTTTAACAGATTTACTAATTAAATCTTGAATTAATCTCAGTATAACGGATTTTTGAAATTTTTGTTCTAATTGCCCAAATTATCCGCTATACCGAGACTCACTGTGTATATATATATATATTACTTCTTTACCTGCTTATCATTAATTCACTATTATAATTGTTTTCATCATCACTTGTAAATGATTCTAATATGATTGGAACTACAAAAATATGAATAAATTATTGAGAATTTGTTACATCATTTAATTTTGTAAAAGCACTTTGAATAAATATTTAGCAAATAGTTTCAAATGATCTTTACTTTATTCCCTATTGCATTTAACATATTTATCTCAAATGATTCTCTGGATATTTCTCAGTGCAGAAAGTGCAATTGATCTTGATGTTTTACCACTAAGGTTCAAAGAGAAGAAAAAAAACTTAAAATTTAAACTCCTGGCACTTAAATTTCTTTAAATTTATGTAAAGGCTTACTTTGAACAAATTAATAGGTTTTTGTAGATTTTTAGTAGATTATGAAAAAGCAAGTTCAATACTGTTTATTTTGATTATTATTATTATAATTAAAAAAAAAAGATTTTCAAAAGGCAGCAAAATATCATGTTAACTTGTTTGCCACACATATGAATTGATCGACAAAGGAGTTCCAATTTTTCTAGATTCGATTTCCAAATTTTGTAATAATCCTGACTGAAATATCATGAATATCATACCATATTGTGTAACAAAGACAATAAAAATATATAATGTTAAAATGTTATCCCTTAAACTGGCTATCTTACAAATTTTTACAATTAAATTTTTTTATATAGAAAATTTTTTCTGATCATCATGCTTTCTAATTAACAAATGATATTTGAGATTTTATACATTGATCTATATATGGGGAGTCTCAAGCGAAAATGAGTCAATTTTTTTTTTGTCATTTTCAAGATAATGATATAATAATATATAATTTGTGTCAGTGAATCTTTTTATCTTAGAAATATACCCATACTTAATAAAATT